TTTTTTTTTTTTTTTTTTTTTTTTTTTTTTTTTTTTTTTTTTTTTTTTTTTTTTTTTTTTTGTTTTTTTTTTTTTTTTTTTTTTTTTTTTTTTTTTTTTTTTTTTTTTTTTTTTTTTTTTTTTTTTTTTTTTTTTTTTTTTTTTTTTTTTTTTTTTTTTTTTTTTTTTTTTTTTTTTTTTTTTTTTTTTTTTTTTTTTTTTTTTTTTTTTTTTTTTTTTTTTTTTTTTTTTTTTTTTTTTTTTTTTTTTTTTTTGTTTTTTTTTTTTTTTTTTTTTTTTTTTTTTTTTTTTTTTTTTTTTTTTTTTTTTTTTTTTTTTTTTTTTTTTTTTTTTTTTTTTTTTTTTTTTTTTTTTTTTTTTTTTTTTTTTTTTTTTTTTTTTTTTTTTTTTTTTTTTTTTGTTTTTTTTTTTTTTTTTTTTTTTTTTTTTTTTTTTTTTTTTTTTTTTTTTTTTTTTTGGTGGTGGGGTGGTGTGGTGGTGGTTGTGGTGGTGGGGGTGGTTGGTGGTGGGTGGTGGTGGTGGTGGTGGTGGTGGTGGTGGGGTGGTGGTGGTGGTGGTGTGGTGGTGTGTGGTGGTGGTGGTGGTGGTGTAGTGGTGGGTGGAGGTGGTGGTGGTGTGTGGTGGTGTGTGGGGTGGTGGTGTGGTGGGTGGTGGTGGGTGGTGGTTGGGTGGTGGTGGTGGTGGTGGTGGGTCTGGTGGTGGGTGGTGGGGGGGTGGTGGCTGGTGGGTGGTGGGTGTGGTGGTGGGGTGGTGGGTGGTGGTGGTGGTGGTGGTGGTGGTGGTTGGTGGTGGTGGTTGGGTGGTGGGTGGTGGTGGTGGGGGGGGTGGGGGTGGTGGTGTGGTGGTGGTGGTGGTGGTGGGTGTGGTGGTGTGGTGGTGTGCTGGTGGTGGGGTGCTGGTGGGGGGTGTGGTGGTGGTGGTTGTGGTGGTGGGTGGTGTGGTGGGGGGGTGTGGTGGGTGGGTTGGGTGTGGTGGTGGGGTGTGGGTTGGGTGGGTGGGGGGGTGTGTGGTGGGGTGTGGAGGTGGTGGTGGGGGTGGTTGTGGTGTGGGGGGGTGGGGTGGGGTGGGGTGTGGGGGGGTGTGGTGTGTGGGGAGGGGTGTGTGTTGGTGTGGTGGGTGGGGGTGTGGGGGGTGGGTGTTGGTGTGGTTGGTGGGTGTGGTTGTGTGGGGGGGTGGGGTGGTGTGTGGTGGGGTGGTTGGTGGGGTGGTTGGGGTGGGGGGGTGGGTGGGGTGTGGGGGTGTTGGTGGTGGGGTGGGGTGGTGGGTGGTGGGGGGTGGGTGTGGGTGGGGGGGTGGGTGGTGGTTGGGGTGGTGGGGTGGGTGGGTGGTGGGTGGTGTTGGGGGGGGGGGTGGTTGGGGGGGGTGGGGGGGTTGGTTGTGGTGTGGGGGGTGGTGTGGGTTGGGTGGGGGGGGTGTGGGGGTGTGGTGGTGGTGTGGTTTGGGGGGGGGTGGGGGGGTTGGGGTTGGGTGGTGGTGGGGTGGTGGGGTGGTGGTGTGTGGGGGTGGGGGTGGGTGTGGGGGTTGGGTGGGGTGTTGTGGTGGGGTGGTGGGTTGGTGGGTGGGGGTTGGGGGGGGGGTGGGTGGTGGGGGTGTGGTGGGTGGGTGGTGTGGGGGGTGGTGGGGGGGTGGTGGGGTGGGGGGGGGGGGGTGTGGGTGGGTGGGGTGGTGTGGTGGGGTGTGGGTGGGGTGGTGGTGTGGTGGTGGGTTTGTGGGTGGTTGGGGGTGGGGTGGGTTGGTGGGTTGGGGTGGGTGTGGGGTTGGTGGGGGGTGGTTGTGGTGGTGGGGTGGTGGGTGTGTGGGTGTTGTGGGGGGGTGGTGGGTGTGGTGTGGGGGTTGGGGGGGTGGTGGGTGGGGGTGGTGGGTGTGGTTGGTGGGGGGTGTTGTTGTGTTGGGGGTTTTTGGTGGGGGGTGGGTTGGGGGGGGGGGTTGTGGTGGGGTTTGTGTGTTGGGTGGTGGGTGGTTTGGGTGGGGTTTGGGGGGTTGGGGTTGTGGGTGGTGGGTTTGGTTGGGTTGGGTGGTTGGGGTGTGTGTGGGTTGTTTTGGTTTGGTGTGTGTGGGGGTGTTGTTGTGGGGTGGGTTGTGGGGGTGTTGGGGTTTGGGGTGGGTTTTGGGTGGGGGGGTTGTGTTGGGGGTGGGTTGGGTGGTTTTGTGGTTGTGGGGGGGTGGGTGGGGGTGGGGGGGGGGGTGTGTTGGGGGGGGGGTGGTGGGGGGGGGGGGGGTGTGTGGGGTGTGTGGGGGGGGGTGGGGGGTGGGGGGTGTGGTGTGGGTGGTCGGGGTGTGGGTTGGGGGGGTGGGGGGTTGGGGGTGGTTTTTGGGGGGGGGGGGGTTTGTGGGGGGGTGTTGGTTTGGGTTGGGTGTGTTGTGGTGGTGGGGTGTGGTTGCGTGGGGGGTGGTTTTGTGGGGGGTGTGTGGGTGGGGGGGTGGTGGTGTGGTGTGTTGTGGGGGGGGGGGTTGTGGGGGGTGGGGGGGGTCTGGGGGGGTGGGGTGTTGTGGTTGTGGGGTTGGTGGTGGTTGGGGGTGTTGGGGGGGGTGGGGGGTGGGTGGGTGGGTGGGGTGGGTGGGGTGGGTTGGGTGGTTTTGGTGGGGGTGGGGTTGGGGGGGGGGTTACATGTTGTTGTGGGGGTTGTGGGGGGGGTGTGGGGTTGTTTGGTTTTGGGTGGGGGTGTTTTGTTGTGGGGGTGGGGGGGTTTGGTTTGGGGTGGGGTTCATGGAAATTCCGAGAATCCGGAGGCTTTGATGTTGATTGGCTCCCAGCTAAAGGAGCTCACTTTGACTGATTGCATGGCTGATGCTTTCTCATTAGCTGAATTTTGACCAGCAGACTTCAAGCTAGATTAAATCGGACTTGTTGAGGATACGAAAATAGAAAGAAGTTCTTCCAGTTCGTCGTTAATCAGGTCTCTGAATGAGCTCCGGTTGGTGGAACTGTACGAACGGTAATATATTGGGTAATTGTCCATCGGCCATGCGTAGTCTTAAACAACGTTAGACTACCCGGTGACCGCTCCCAGGATATTCATCAAGAACCGTAGTGTTAATAGCCGGTATGTCTAGCGAAAATATGTTGTCCTGAGTACTGGTTAGTTAAGAGACCTGTTGTTGCCAGTCGTTCGTTTGAATGCATAATATTTTAGAACTTCAGAGGAGCGGTTCTTACGGACCATATACGCGATGGAAGATCGAAATCACTTTGCTAATAATATGTTTAAACGGTAGGCTTGCGGCACATTCATATGTAAGCGTCAAAAGTGCTAGGTCCTTTTGGCTGCAGTTAGGCGCGTTACATGTACATCCAACAAGTAGTTGCTGCCTACTAACGTAGATTGCCAACCATAGTGATACCTAGACGTCATTCAGTACTGGGTTTCCGAACGTTGCTGCTGCGAACGATTTTTCATCTAATTTACCCAGGCTCCATCCCGGTGGCAGCGCCGATTTCTAATAGACTTGTCGTATCCGAAAACGGTTAACCGATTGTCAGATATGTCGTCATAGTACCTACATTTGGTTACAAGTGTTATGTCAAGATTAGTCACCAAAACAAATGAACATAGTATGTGGATTTTTGAATGAAATGAAAGGATATTAGTTTACAATATTGAAATAGTTGTGAGATATAAAGGAGATTGTTTATGTTGCTTTGTAAACTTGGGGGTTTGGGACCGTGTGTCTGACCCAGGCTAAAATTTATCGGAACAAGGCATATATAGTCTCCATTGAAATTGATTGGGAGGTAGGTACTGCGAAGGCGGCTGTGACCGAGTATGACTCTCACGAAGATGATCCGCGGGGTCGAGCCCATGTTTGGTGTAACAGCTCATTGGAGCTTCAGCGTTAAAAGGAAGGCTTCTTTTAAGTTCGCTTGTGAGTGCTGGTTTGAAAGACTGCGTCATCTGCATCATGACGCTGACGGATTGTTGGTTACGCACGTTATTGACAGGAGTCAATTAACCGCTGTTATTTGCATCCTTGGGTACAGTTTGCTTACGTGCGCTCGAGTCACAAGCGTTCACTTTGCGTGGTGCAAGTACACTGATGCCAGACTATACAGTGTTAGCCAAATTATTATAACTTCATTAGACTGCATTTATTCTTTTTAAGCCATTCTTTTCAATTTTTTTATGGTTACAATGCCAGATTTTCTTATTATTCTCAATGTCATAGTAACCAATGACAACAATAGTTGACAGTAATGTAAATAATTATTTGGAATGTACAATTTGTCTTAATGTTTGCTATTTATATGCGGATGACAAATTGGCTGATGTTACGTGTACAGTAGTCATGTGAATCAGAGGTTACATTTTTATTTTAGTTTGTTATTTCCCACTGCAGTCCACATTTCTCTATTACATTTGTCTGGTTTTGGATCAATTTATAATTTAATTTAATTTCTTTATTTTTATTTTCAAGGTATCTTCTCAAGTGACAACACAACCTTATTGATTGACAGTATCTGGATTGTCTTAACATATTAATGAGTAAATTACCTGACCTAACCCCATGAACGCGTGCAAAAATTGAACCTTTGTTGAAAGGTTTTAAAGGATCAGAAATTGCTACCAACCTTGGTGTTAGTCCAGCATTTGTACACGCAATTACAAAATAAATTACCATTATCTTCTAAACCTGCCGATAAGTGGGGTCGTAGAAAAGCAACGACAGCTCGGGACGACTCACATTTGCTTAAGGAATGCCGCAAGAATCGCAAAGCATTTAGCAAACAGTTGCGAGGGATGTTAGAACAACATGGTGTTGCAGTAAGTTCGATAACTGTAAGAAGACGACTTTTGGATCTTGGCCTTCAGCTTCCAGTCCTCTGAAGAAGCAAACATTGAATAAACATGTGAAAGAACGTCAGAAATGGGTTGCATAGTTTAAAAATAGTCACATGAAGCCTGGGAGCGGGTAAAATGTAAGTTATATTTTTATAAGGAATTTCGAGAAAGTTTGTGCATCCCTTGGTTGGATATGTCATACAGCTCCTGTGTTCTATTTTAGGTTGTTTTCAGCGATGAGATTATCATCCGGTGCTCTGACCAGCAAGCTCAATATGTCCGGCGCTTACCTGGAGAACAGATAGGGAAGACAGTATTGTCCAGCGAGTCAAGCTTCCCACTCAGGTCATGATATGGAGTTCTATGAGCATCTTCGGAACTGGTCGGCTGTACATCTTTTAAGGTAACATGAACCAGCAACAGTACAAAACACTACTAGAGCGCCGTCTGATAGTGATGTGAATGGGCAGATAAAAGAGGATTTACTGGGACAGGAGATTTCATTTTCGTGCATGACGGTGCTCCTTATCACAAGGGGCGTGAAGTAATCGTTTTCTTGAGGGTTGTGAAATTGAATTGCTTCCATGGCTTGGAAATAGTCCTAACATGAATCCAGTAGAAGCGTATCAGCACTGCTAAACTCAGGGTTGAAAAAACTATTACAACTAAACAACAGATCATTGGAGAAATTATACCAACCTGGGCGCTCTTTGCATTTGCATGTTAACTTCTTGAAAATTGCCAAAGGATCATTTACAAAATAGTAATCTTAATGAATCTCCAAACAATATCTGTTTTTCTTGGAAAACATAATCAGTTTAGAGTAAACTCATTTGATTTTTACGAGAAATGTATAGCAATATGAAAAAGTTCGCTGAATTTAATAAATTTATAATAATTTGACCAACTCTGTACACCACGAGCAGCATACTCCAAGTTATTCATAAATGGGATCGGTAGTGGTGATATCCAATTACATCGTGTGTGGGATGCAAAGGTATTTGGAACGCCTTTTATGCCTATATGACTGTGATCAATGGATGTTTATCTATCCAAGCAGAAGGATGACAGATTCACACACTGAGGCATTCGATAAATCTGGCTAAACCGATTCGTTTGACCCTGTACGTCAAAATCTTCGACGGGCTTAGACACTGGCCAGAACAGACCTTAGGCTGGGGAATTGCGGGGCGAAGTTTGAGATAGTGGCTTTGTTTGTATATTGGATCCAACGGTTAGTGTACTTGTTATTCCCCGAACCACCTGCTTACCACCTCGCATGCAGGAAACAGCATTAGGACCACCTGTATGTCTGCCGAACTCTGTTTTCCAGGAGGAAGCGCCACTAGGTCTGTTGGGATTGGTCGACATACCAGGCTTAGTTACGAAAACACGCATCAGCATTACACCGATACGCATTATCGATGCTTTGCAGCTACCGCGGACCACCACCCGTCGCATGTGGGCTGAAGATACGCGTGGGTCGCCCAGTCCCTACGCAGGCCCCAACCCACGCCCTCAGATTACAAGGCAGACTTGTGTTTCTTAAGGCTACAGGTTGGCGCTTAGTTATGAAACTGTTGCATGGTAAAGGTCCTCCAGTGACCATGTTTCCTCCTGACATTGAATTTGCCTCCAAAATATCGCAGTTGGACGCTATTCTAGATAGGTTAACGGAATAGACTGTTCCATATATTCATGCGATCCACTGCGAGTCTCAAAAGTCTTATGTGCACCACACCATCCTTGTCTGCGGCAAGTAAAGCATCGATCTCAAAATTATTGCGTCCATTAAGTAGAACACCATCAAATGAATGCGGAGTTCATATGACTGGTAGTTTGCCTGATCTCCCATTGTAGCGGAGTTTTGTCTTACACAGTTTTCAGGTTTCTAAAGGATTTATCAAGCAGATTGAGATTACGCTCCTAAATGAACTGCTTAGCTGTTGACTCATTTTCAACCTGTTAAAGTATGGGACAGGCGTAGCATGTTAAATTTACTCCTAGTTTGATGCAACTGGATCAGTAAGTTTGCATGCTACATGCACTGAAAAGCACTTCCTGAACAGTTTTCAATGGTAGCTTGTCCAGCACATCAAAAACTATAACATTACATAAACAGCCTGCTCGATTTCTTACTTCGGTCGAAATTGAGTCTATTAGTATACCGCAGTGCGCGAGGTGCATTTTACCAATATTTGAGGGCGATTAAATAAGACAGACTCTGCAGAGATTGAAATATAGACGTGAACATGTCAAACTTTAGTGCAAATAAGTACATGCAGTTTCAGCTACGGTGGAACATTTTCACTTGACTTTCTCAGGTCAGAAGGAATCTCAGAACTATTTCCTACATCGCCTACACTCTTCCGGGTATTATTTCTACTACTGATTCCGGCTAAGGCGCGAAGTACCTTGATTTGTTGTCTCGGTTTCTGAACTAAAATGAAGGCATCCTGGTTTGTATTACTTCTCTTGCTGATCAAGCGTCTATATACCGCGGACATGAGACTGAAACGAAATATAACATACACTAAGGCAGAATAAAAGAGGCTATGAGAATGGGCGCTAACCATTGATATTTAATTGGAAAGTCCACGCTAAATAAGATAATGGTAAATTGTAAACAGCAAATTGGATAAAGCAGTGAGGAACATAAAGCGCATTAAAGAATGTAATTTTTCTTTATTCTCCCGCAGTCGTTTTGAGTTCAGTTGTTTCTTCCCAGTATTTTACGATCACCTGGTGTCCAATTCCTCTAATCTACTTCTCCCGTCATTAGCATTTCTTTTTTCATCATCCATGCAACAATCAAGCATCACAGTAACAAAACCAGTGTAGATAACCTAGCTACAATCCCATTGGCATCGTTACTGATATTATGTTTCCCTCATCCTTTGTTATGAGATTTAGTTCGTTTCTTATCACTCCTGTTATTCGTCATCATCACTTTCTAAAGGAATGGTATAATAACATTTTTTGTCTAACTTTATTGTCACTGGTTGCATAAGTCGGCAGGACTGCAGTCTTAGATGTGGGCAGTCAATTTTGCACAATCTATGCCGTAATCCAGCTACAACATTCCACCTTTCCACATCCATATTTACTCTTATGACTTTTTTGATTCCAGCTTCACAGGCATAGCCTAGTCCATCTCATTTAAACTTGCCGACGGTCCGATTGATCTGAATGGTACAGGCTGACTTCAACCTCAACCGAAGCCACAATTGAGATTGATTGTCGCAATCCGACACACAGCTGGTACTCCAAAACCCGACAATCGACATTGTATTGTCAACCCGTAGCCCTGAGGATTACAAGCATGCCTTGTAATCTGAGGGCGCGGGTTCCAGCCTGCGTAAGGGACCGGGCGACCCTCGCAGTATCCTTAGCGGACGTGCTACTGGTGGTGGTGCCGCAGCAACAAAGTGTCGGCACTGCGTGCCGGCGTGTTGCTGATGCCTCTACTGGATATTCTAAAATATCCTCATTGTTTACTCAGTCCGGTTACTTGCAGACATATTTCTTTCTTTACTTTCACAATCGACACGATATTTTCTGTGGGTAGTCGATCGTTTCTGGTATATGTGTGGCGCTGATTTGCAAACTATACTTTCCTAATACAGATACACCTTCGTGAACATTTCAGATATGCTTGCCTGGACGTATGCTGGAGTCAATTTCAGCATTTCCGGCACCGGTGGTCCACAATGTCTTCAATTTTTGTCAGCGAAACAACGCATCTTTGAAACTGTCGTGGCTGTTGGCACATTCTCCTACTTGGCCTATTGGTCCTGGCTACGATTAGCCTCACCCCATCCTAACCCTCAGAATTCTTCCATGAAATTGAGGAAAACTTTTCTTCTCTTCCACTATGTTATTTTTGGATTAGAATTGTGTTACAAACTTGCATCAGAGTCGCTAATCTGGATTCTGAATCCTTGTCACATTTTGACAATCATGCAGGTAAATTTGTTTTTTTATTTCTTTTTCAGCACGGCATAGATTTTGCTTACTTTGCTCATATTCGTTGCCCCCCTGGTCGGGGTATCTCCCTTCTGTTAAAGGGTTGCGTTTACATTGCCACTGTTCGGGCAGTGTTGCAATGTGGAAGCGAGTCGTGGCCAATTCGCGCAGTTGACATGCGCCAACTCTCGGCCTTCACGAATGTTTGCTTGAGATGGGTTGTTCGTGTGTGTTGGCAGCATAATATCTGCAACGGTGAAGTCCGACCACGGGTCTTAGGGGCTGCGAGTATTCCCTTTCGTAAACTGCTTTTGTTGCGTCAGTTAAGATGGCTCGGTCAGGGGAGCGCTTGCCCCATTGCGCCATTTTTGCTCGTGCAGGACCTGGCTGGAAGATCGCGTACTGGTCAGCCGTCCACTTGGCGACAGCATATGAAATCGTTGACTTCACGTTTTACTGCCGTCTGATCCACATCTCTGCCTGGTTGAGGACCAGAGGACCAAGAGGGTGGATGGCTGGAAGCAACTCAACAACAACTGCTACTACTACTACTACTACTACTACTACTAAACATTTTTAACTTGCCGTTTCTAGTTAACCTGTCCAAATGTGCCTTCATCATATCTACTGGGTTTATTTTATTCACATTTAAACTCAGTGGTCTCAACTTCCTTATACCCACTTAGTTGTATCATGGGCCGAATGACCAGTTAAGCTCGCATTCTGCGGAAACCTCACTATCACCGCTGTAGGTATTTTGGCTAGATGAATGGATGGAGCTTGTAGAGTATAAATTGTGTAAACATGAAATAACCAGTTGGAACGCACAGTTTGCACACCTCGATGTAACACAAAAGATACTTGATTCTTAGGCTTCGGTACTGCGTCGGAAAGCAAGTGGCAAGAGCTCACTAGAAAAATCTTGTCGAATGAAGATCCCAAAAACGATTTAACTGTTTTGCACTTTTCCATCTGAGCTCATCCCGGAGCAGAGGCGGTGGTTGCACTATAAACTATGAAAAAATATACAACACATGGATCGTTAGCTCTACCCCAAACCTCCATGGACACGCACCTTCTGTATTCGGATCCTTGTCCAGATAGTTAATTGTGCGTATCAGCTTAACCACTGGGATAGATCATTTGACACCTAGTACCTGACACTAGGATCCGTTTGTCTGTGTGCTTACGAACTTGCTTCACCAACGGGTGTATTTAATGCTAGAGTGCTCTCCAACCCTTGGATTACCGTTTTTCTAAAGTCGCTCGGCTCATTTTGGACATCCATCAAAAGCGAACCAATTAGCTAAGGCACCGGTAATCGAACACACTCAATCCATGCGCGTTGCTGGATCTGAGGATATCACGCCCGACTACCGTGCAATGGACCTAAAGAAGCATGTTGCGTACACAAGTATTTTCAGAGTGCAGTTTGGCGCCACGCCGGCGTTGCAAAAATAGGTCCATGAATGTACTTGAGGTACTCACCATGCAGTTTACATTCAGCTATCCGGCAGCGTCATCGCGGCAAGAGTGGACTTTAACGTGGTGCGATGGTTTGCCTCACTGATCCATTGAGCTATGCTGGGTAGTGCTTTTTGTTCCTTCAGAGCCACTCATAACAGATTGGTACATGGTTAGGGGTCAGACAAACTCAGTTTCTTGGCCCTCCAGGTTTGGGTTAGAGTGAGGATAGCTCCCTTACTTTATAAGACGGACTTTCTGTACCCCACTGTGAAAACGCCGCTGCCTTGCCATCAGGTTTTGTACCGAAGGCTTTGCTTATAGACCCTCATCGTTATCCTGTCTAGACCAGTGCAACCTGACAGTAACCTGCCCACGTAATCAAATGACCACATCATACAATTTCCTGGTGCCCCATCAGCTGCGGCGAACCGCCTGGATAGGGGTGACAATACCACTGCCCTTTCCGTCTTTTGGTTTCCCTTCTTGCGATTCTTCATTCTCATCTTCCCGTTCCAACTTCCTTTTTATCCGCCTGTGTTCAATGCACAAATTCTTTTCCTTCCCTCATCTTTCTTCAGTAAGCGTTAGTCTTCTAGTTTTGACTTCACACAATCGCAGGGCGTCGCTTCGGTCTAGTCAACAAGTCCATTTTCAACCAATCGGACAACGTCGGTTCCATCTTCACCCTTCGATCCCCCACATGCAACACTGGCCGTACTTTCTCACTGCTTCTATCCAGATTATACAGCTTCGAATACCTGTTAAGTCGGTGTGGGCTTTACTTTGATCCCCCTGGCTGAAAAGTGCTCTGATCGCTTGGATTCCAATCAACAGCCCGACGTGTGCCGTCCGACTAGCTGTCTCGTTCGATGCTTCGAAGTTGCGCCAGGCGAATAGGCACCTGTCTCTCATTTCTGGTTACACCACCACAAACTGTGGTGCTGATTCGGTGAAGGATGACTTATGTCACCAACTGAATGAGCTCCTTAGTCTTAGCGGTAGCACAGATAATTTTGTGATAGCCGGTGATCTGAACGCGTTTGACTGGATACAATTGTTAACATATCTAAGAACCGACCTAAATGGCCGTTGTGTTGTGAGTTTCTTCTTCCCTCTCCCTCCCACTTATCTTTCTCCTTCAGCCACAATATCGCACTTGACGCATAATATGACGCTAGGCGGTATATTACTTGTTTTTGCTTTTTCTATTGTATTCTGCAATTTTTGCTATCTTACTACTCATTCGCTGTGGCAGCACAATAGCTGAGTTGTTGCTCACCTCTCACTAACTTGTAATGATGATGACGATGATGAGGCGAATTCAGGACTCATAATCTTATTAATGGGCAAGTTGCATGTATACTCCCTCGATAACTGGCACCGATGCAGCATGTGCATAGACCTGTAAAATGTCCAGAGTGCTTTCAGGAGAATGTAAGAAACGGACAAACTAACTACCAGAAGGCAACTCTGTGATATATGCAAATGTTGGTGTGCATAGCTTTCGCGTTAAAGCGAACTAGGAAATTTTGTAGTGAGAAACATAACATCATTTTCCCAAACTGCGGGGGTATGTGGGCGACATATTTCTCCCTGGGTTTGATGAATTGGCTATGCAATCAGTACTGCACAGACTTGTGCGTAGCGCTGCACGCTACGACATGCCTTTTGCACCTTCAAACTGCAAAGTGCTATTGCAGGACTGTGCCGACACCTCCGGTTTTAGCTATTTTTGTACAACCACAGGAAGTGACGGATAGGTTCGCTTACCTTGGTAGCTGTGTCACCCCTGGTGGTCACATCACTGAAAAGGTTACTTCGCGTATCGGCAAGGCCCGTGTGGCTTTCCAATGGTTCAATTGTCTGTGGAGACGGCGGGATATCGGCTTGTCAGTGAAAGGTAGGGTTTATAACGCTGCGATAAGGCCTGTGTTACTGCATGGATCATAGACCTGGCCAGTTCGCAGTGAAAACATCAAACGCTTGGCCGTGTTTGATCACCGGTGCTTGTGGAGTGTTGCTCACGTCTGGTGGGAACATCGGGTGATCAATGTTGAGGTCTGCCAGTTGGATTTTGGCAAGAAGCCTTCTGGTTCCTCACTCCAGTGTTTACTAATTCTTACTCGTTCGCGTTGTCTAGGCCATGTTCTCCGTATGCTTGTTGATCGGCTTCCTCGACGTGTATTATACGCCGTGGCCGCACCAAATTGGGCGAAACTGCGAGGTGGCCAGTTTACGACGTGGCATAGAAGCTTGAAGAAATGGACCGAGAGACTCGGTCATGCTGATGCGCGTCGTTTTCGTGGATGGGAGCCTCAGGATGATCAGCACCAATGATTGGAGACCGTGTCAGACATGGCACAGTCACACAGTCAGTGGCTTTTCCTCATTCGGTTTCTTGTATCTGGTTGTTAATTTTCGCTCTATTCTGCTTAGTCCAACGCATTTCCTTCTTGCTTTCATTTTCTCTACATTCTATTCGTACCAAAACCCACTACCCTTCCGCTATTATTTATTCTCATTTTTACCTTGTGTGCCCTGGCAACTAGCTCCATCGCACTTCGGTGCTCGGATCATTGTTGTTCAACTGAACTGAACGGATTTAAAACTGCTGGAGGTCTCAGACGTTAGTGAATGCACTCAGTTTGATTCCACCTTTCGCGTAGCCTGCGCACTGAGCACCTTTGTGAAAATTTGTTGTTGCGTATCTAGTCTTGTTAAGGATTCGCATCAGCCAATTGGTTTTTGCCGGTAGGCATGGAACATCTATGTACGGGACCACATTAGACTGCCACTTCTTTTTCATCTGTTTGGAAATGCTGTTTTCCAATGTTGCACTATGATGCATTCCGCGATCGATTATATGAAATGAACCTAAGCGGATTGCTGCTTCTTCGTACGTGCGCACTCACAAGGGGGGAGCTGTGACGACGCATCTCATACACCTTACACAAAAGATATTACTATCTCTTATTCTGAGAGATTTATCTTAACCTTGAGCAACCGAAAGATTCAGTACGTGTGATCCTCAGCAATTACTGACTTTCAGAACCAAGATTATCACGTAAATTACAATGAAACGCGTGTCCGATGCAGATTCAAAGATAGATGCTTTCTGAGGTCGCATAATGTTATCGCCCTACGATAAGTTGTTTCCACTGCTTCCCTGTGAGCCGACCTTCGTTAAGATATCTCTCGCCGTCACTGATTTTTCATCAAGGAATTAAGTTGTTCGACCATGCTCCAAGCACAGAAATGTGCTAGATGCAGTTGTGTCGCCTCGCGTTTTAAAAACAACGTTTGATTAGGAGGAATTTCTAAATGATATGAATTACTATAATCATTAGCTAAAAGTTGAAAAGAAAGGAACTAATGCAAAAGCATCACTGGGTTCGGGACTCTGCTGTCTTATATGTTCTCTGATTTATCATGTGGCCGGCCCCTGGACCCCCATCAGGAATAGTGCATTCACGAGCTCTGGCTAACTCCTAAACGACTTTCCCCACATAATTTTACTTCATCGATCCGTTACCTCGAATTTTTTTAAGTGCGTCTGTCTGCACGATTTGGCTCTCGGCTGCATTAACTTTTCTCGTCGATAGCTTTTTATGGGTTTTGTCTTACGCAGTCATGAAACCAATGGCGAGCTTGTATTCGTTCCCCAACTTTTGGTTTTTATTTATTCCGTCCAATGATTTTGTTTCAAACCCATACGCCCTGAATTATTATTATTATCATTATTTCTTCGGTGTATTATGCCAAGGCAACTAAACTCACCAATTCTTACTGCGCGGATTATGGCTGATAAGCTGAACCGTATATGATTCCAGCACAGATTTGCATTACTTTTCCTTTTGGCTTTCATGGTGACTCCGAGCCCCATTTAGACGGCGTTTACTTCGTTTGTGCTTCATGAACTTACGCATGGAAGCGCTCTCTTCCAATGTATACACTTCTTGTGTCGTTCACGCTTTTTCTGGGCTTAGGCTAGGGTGATGCGCTTAGAAGCAAATGCAATCCGGTTTTAACTGTTACTCACCGTTTGGGCACCGTATCTCACGGTTTCTAATATGTCACAATGCATGAAATGGCGACCACTTGAGCATCAACTCCAAGAATCTGTAGACTACCTAGCGCACTCGTTCCTCTTATCTCTCGAATCTGTTGACTTATTCGGGTTTCCTGGTTTGCTTTAATATCTGCCGCCAACTTTTGGTCAAGTACCATTAGGATTTCGGAAACACTTTCCACTTGGGCTACACGCAGCTTCTCACTGTCGAGGTCCATGTCGGTTGTCTTACTACTCGTTTTAAGCACGGAAGTACAGTGGAACGTGTTTCGACTCGCGCCGCCCTTATAATTATTGCATCATTCGATGAAAATGGAAAGATAAAGTAACATTACAACATGAAATCACTTCAAATAAGGTCAACAACGTATGTGTTTTTTCTCTGAAGAGTTGATAGCCGGGGGGCAGTGGGTCGAATATGAGTGCGCTAACGATATTTCGTTCACACCATGACTCTACCGTGATTGATTTCGATCAAAATAATCGAGAAAAAGATAGGTGAAACTGTACCGAATGCCTTCAGGACAAAATTCATCATAACAAAAAGATTATTTATATTTCTGAGGTCATAAAATTGCGAACCGAAGTAAAATAACTGATGCATTCCGGCGCCTGCTATGACAGCCGGATTTTGCCTTATTCGAATACCTTTTCAGGTCGTTCTGCGACTTTCGTTGTACCAAATCTGGGAGTTTATCATAAGAATCTGACGCATACAGACCTATATCACTTGTCTCAGCGTAACACAACTTGTACCTCTCACTAAACTGAACTTCCGATGCCCTCTACTATTTTCCCTAGGGCCAGATGTTTTCTCTGTTTGAGTATACATTCGACTCGCGATGTACACCAGGCAAAACAGCAATCGCAATGGGCGTTTCCTGCCCCATACCAAAGACTACTTGTCCACTGCATCGTAGAAGCTTCAATCGACGATACGGAATGTAATCTTTGTGCACCCGTTATGGAGAGATGGTGAGAGTACGATTGACTTACGGATTTTGCGGATCGCGGGAATCTACCCCTTGCATTTAATAGGAAACTGTAGGGTGTGGGCCGATTTGTTGAATAGCAGCGCTTATGCGAATCTGTTGGTCGTTTGGGCGTCGAATAAAGTTCCCAGAAGTGTCGGCTTCTAGAATTGTCATTTTTCTCGCCGAAATTCACAAAGGAGGAGGTTGGTGTGCCTGGACTGCCCATTCTGGCCTGTCTACTCAGTCCTTTTGCAATCCATTTGTCGTTGCTGTTCTTGAAAACCACAAGGCTGAGAACATTGTTTCGCTTTGTATTGCAAATCATGGACGTATGCGGAATCGGGTGGGGTCATGTCCTCCCATGGAAATATGTCCTTTCTATTTATAGTGGTGTTCGTTGCTTACTTTCCCCACCATTCTGTCATCATTTCTGACGCTTCGTCGTATTACTAGAATTTTCGGACTCACTACGCGTCAGTCCGTGTGTCTACACTTACTCTTACCTACTTGTATATCCGGGCATCGCTCTCAGTGGGTCATTCGAACGCTGTCACTCTGTAGACTTGGTCAGACCGCATATTAAATATTAGCATTGATTCCATTAGCTACACTTGTTTTCATGCTTTCATTTGTGGAACTTGTGTCAGTGTGTGAAACTTTCGTTTTTCTAATTGTAGATATTTTTATTGGCATGTCGCCCAAGCAAACTTACTACCTCAATCTTTCGACTGCACGTGCACATGTTGAACGGCCCGCTTTTGGCATTAGCTTTTCCTGTTCTCAATACCAGACTGGTGAGTTTTTGGAAATGTTTGGGGCAAATCTCTTGCAAATCTCTTATAATCAGCACCTGACCACCACTATGCTAATCAACGTGACTTCCTATGGAACGTACAAATAAATAATTTTTTATTCTCGACTACGCGAGGCACATCAGTAAAGCCACTGCAGGCCAGCTGATGTCCATTCACGCTGTCGAATAGACGCCTCCTCGTGCGACTCATGCATTCTGCTCCACAGGAACAGGAGGACGTTTAAGTACACATGGATTTGAGCTTAGTGTCACCATCGGAATACTAGGGAATCGAATCTGTATTTTCGTTGTTGGGATAGTGCATCACCGTGTGTGAGAAAGACAGTGAGTTAAGAGTTCCGCTGCGATTACGTCACTTTGCAGCAGCTTTAGGAATTTTGTTTTTCCTTCCTTTGCCAGGACCATGAAATCTTTCTCCTTTTGTTCCATGTTAGCTTTAACGAAACTGTCTCAGTAGCCATTTCCCCTTAGTGTCAAGCGTAGACACTGCAATTCCTCGAAAACTATCCTTTGGGCAGATTCTGTCAGTTTTTCTCCTTAGGCTGTGATTCAAGTTCCTTTTAAACCTAAACGGAAACCCATAGTGAGTTCCGACGTGCGTTGATCTTGTCTCTGGTCCCAAAGCAGCAAATGATGTGTCGAAACACTCGCTGTTTTTTTCTGGAATAGCGAAAGCACGCTGATTTAGTGATCATGGCGACTGTGCCAGCAGCTATGTGCCGAGTTCCACTCCTGATTCAGGCTATCTCTACCTGCTGAGTGCAAACCAGGACGAAACACGTCATGGAGTGCAGGAGTGGATGAGCGCAACATCGAGACCCTCCAGCACGCTGCCGAATGATTTATCTAATGTGTTTTGAAGCGCTACGAAAATTTCGCTTGCACAGCACATCTCTTCTTGGTGGCTTCTCTGAAACATCGAAAACATGCAGATTGACGTCGGTCAGTACCATTCTGATTGTCGCTCCGATTTCTTGATCTGTAGTTTAATGTCACTAGTCGTAACCGCAGTACTCTATCTTCTGCTGCTCATGGACTGTTCTCTAGCTCTGGAACCAGTAGCCGAATGGGAGAGACATACAGACGGCTATAGAACACGTCTGATTGTCAAATTGTTGAAAAGCTTAGTTCGATAGCGTTACTCAATACAAGTGAACAACGTGTTAACATCAAGTTTCTTGTTCAACTGAAGAAATCCGCGGCGGAAGCTTTTCGTTTAGGTACTGACGTTTCTACTGGAGACTGCATGTCTCGTGCGCGCGTTTTCGAATTGCACGAACGATTTCCGGAAGGCAAACCAGCTGTGCATGAGGATCACCCAGGCTTTCCAGTCACAGCTGTCACCATCGACAAACTTGAGTGTAAGACGTGATTCGAAAACATCGTAGGTTAGGCGTCCGAGCGATAGCTGAGCAAATCAATCTGGACAAGAAAGGTGTTCGATGCATTTTAAGTGAGGAATTGAGCATGACTAAAGATGAGCTGGCCTTGTTGAATTCGATACTTGTGATGGAATTTGAACATTTACCTACGATCCGGGGACCAAGCGGCAATCAACGCAGTGGAAGTCAACATCATCTCCAACACTAACAGAAGCACGCATGGGTCGTTCGTCGTTCCCGGTCAACTTGGTTCTTTCCGATATCTAGGACATTACGGTGGCCTAGTGGACACCCAACGATCCGACGTTAATTCATCGGTACTATATTTAGGTGTTGACGAAATTGCATAAATATGTTGTGAACGACCGGACTTATGTAGTTACGAGTGGATTTTGCACTAAGAAAAACGCGCCAGCCCGCAACGCCTTGTCTATGAAAAGTCTTTGGCTAATAAAGACATTACCACCCTTCAGTATTCCTTTGTTCGTCATACCTCTCTTCATACGACTTATACATCTTCCCATAGATCAAGTCGGTGCTCCTAGAAGCCCTTCCTTTCCTAGTGAGTAGGAGGATTCTTGATAGCATTTTACTGATTCATCCCAGTTGCTCACAGGCCAGATAAGTGTACTCCCAATCCGAAAAAGCACCGGACGTTCGTTTCGCCCTATTTGGGCTCAGTGATGCTCATTCCCTCAGGCCCTGCTGGGAACTGAGCCCATGACTGCTGGGAGCTTGTGTTAACTATCCAGCAGCTTATGCCACTGAGCTATGGGGGACGGCGGCAGGCAGTCCTACTTTGCAAGATAACTGGGATATAGCGCAACGTAGCATCCAGTGTCCTGAAGCTTCCTACCGTTGCAGAGGACAATGGCTGGCCTCCACAGATGACGACTTCTACCACACAGCAGTTATGTACGCATAGCATTTGAAACTGCGAGGGCGAATTTTGATTACTAATGCGTACCATTGACGAGCCGGATAAAGCGAAAAGATCGTCCGGTGCTTTTACGGATTGGGGGGCTAGACGGCCATGCTTGTGAGCTACTGAAACAAATCAGTGAAACCCATTTTTTCTCGACAGTCATACAGGACATGACTTCCGGAATTGCTTTGAATGCTGTTAGCATCGTCTACAGCTGTGCGTCAATCCAGAGGCGTCAAAGTGGATTTTCAAGGTTTATTGAATAGGAAGAGTTACAGACACAGTCGTTATTTCTGCCTAACCCAATAACCCAGATTATGCGTGTTCAAGTGTTATGGGGCTGTTTATTTGCGAAGGCATTACTATTCCCTAAATCTCACCGTATATGCAGTCACCAATCAAGTGTTCGATGTAGCGCTGATTTATGGCTTCATATGGAATCGAGAGAACACGTGAGACTAATCGGCTTCATCGAAAACACCTTTCTTTCGCATGCCTACTGGCTGGTTACCTCGACGGTACTATTTGTCATCGTTTCGCTAGATAAAGTGACCAGCGTGTGAGGTGATAAAGTGGGCTGGATAAACCGATCGAAATGCATCCGAACTAGGACGTGCTGCCTTCCATAACTTTTCTCGGTTTCGTTTTTCGCATCAGATTTCCTACCGTTAACTGATGCCATCAGTACGGCACCAGTAAACGCTTAGTGTACTCGAATAAGTATTACTTGACTGCAGCTTTTACTATTTCATCTCCCGTTGTGACTGATAATATGTCTGTCGACATATTTGACACCTTGCCAATGCTTTTCAAATGAGTGGCTTCCATACCACCCTGTTAAATCAAACTTAAGTACCTGGGGTCACAGTGTATTCTCTTTTCTTTCTTGAGCTCATCGTCTTAATCCAGGTAACCTTCGTTACATACAGAGTTAGGGTTCCTCAAACACTCACATTTGGGAACATGAGTTGCGTCGCAGTGGGTCTTGATTGTTACGATCACTTGATCATTGTCAAAAATCTTTCACTTTTTGTTGGCTTTCAGTATTGGATCTGATGCTCGGTTCTCCTTTTCATGTCTCCTATCCGGAGAGCTTAGAGGTAGACAGACCGATATTGGGGCGGATAACCAAATTATCCGCTTTTCGTCCGTGATCTTTTCATATATGGTGCATGGTTTCTTTCGTTCGCTTGAGTCTTGTTTTAAATGTTCTACCAATTCTCCTCTCCATTAGATCTTTCTCTCCATATAGTCATATTGTCGTCCGTAGTATCGGACCTACCGGCTTGCTGTCGTTCGGCACCTACTCACTTCAGCATGCGCGTATCTTTTTGTGTAGGTTGTAGGCAACCAGCATAACCTACTATAACTGGCTTTTCACTTTTTCAAGATTTCTACTACGGATAACCTTGTCCTTTTTCTTCTTCAGTTGCCTTTTGAATGTGTTGTGTATTTTATACAGCACGCTCTGATACTCCTCTTCCCAATCATACTAATGGACCAAAACAGTGAGTTCCTAATTTTTTTTCCGCAATTTTCTCCACTTTCCTCTGCGGGTCTTCGAATTAGGACATTCTCCAAAGCCGTCATTTATACGCGCACTTTTCAGGGATTATTGCTTCTTAACATGTATTTCATCAGAGCCTATACCTTCACAGCCTTTCGGCTTTCCTATCACTCTCAAATCAGTTGTGAATTTCACTTCGGTGACATGGGTGAACTCCAGTTCTGGCATTGAATGCCCACAACAAAAGTCACAGTACCCATCGCGTAATTCTCGAAGCTCTTCTACTTGGCCCTTTTACTACTTAACGATGCCCCATTGTCTCAATACTTAGTACCAGAGAGTAACAGTTCTCCTTCCACTCATTCCTCTCGCATATTCCACTTAACCCGCAGAGGTGTGGAATAGTGAGCAGTTTGAATGCCATACCACTAAAATCTTGCTTGTGTCAACGTCCTTCGCTCACAGCACGATACCCAGTGATTTTCATGCGTACGTAAAGGTTTCAGCTGTCCAACTGCCGCAGCGGAGTGAGTTGTTTTTGCACAACAGATCGGCTATCATCTTTAGTGACAGTCGAATGGCGCCTACGTACGCTCGGTGGTTTTTGGCCCTTTCACTGTCAGGTGTTGATCAGTTACTCTTGTATCGTAGACCGATATACTCCCTGGAGGATGACATCTTCTCGTCGTATGTCAGTTGTTACATCACCTGTTTCGTAATACATTTTATGGCTTATCAGCTAGTTCCAAGGGGGTTTACAATATTTTGAACAACAACTTCAACCTCACAACTTTTCCACCCAAACCGAATTTCCTTGCGTTATCGCCCTCTCCATCAGGCGCACCATACATTCGCGTGTTTGAATCTGTCCCTATTAGTTCTACGGACCGACCGTCAAATTGACAAACAACAATGGCGCCAGACACCCGAATAGCTGCATCTTCCTAAATCCGTTTGTGTATAGGCAGTTACATGCAACACACTGTGACGATGCGCCAAAAGGCTGCCTGTGATCTGTAGATCGGAATTGCCCTATTGGGTTCACTTCCTGCCTGCCAACCTACCTTTTACTACGTTTTTCATTTTCACCTAACTAGAGAGTGAATTTGGCACACACTAACATGTGATCAGAAGTGGGATAGCCATTCCATGCCTGCTGATAGTTCAGGAAGCCACCACAATATCTTTATTCAATTTGCTTTTGTGCGCCTGGTTGGACAGCTGTTCGTGCCCTTCTCTTTGACACTATCAGAATTATCAATGTCGCATTTGTTGACATATCAAGCAAAAAGTGCCCGCCGTATGTGCTCACCGAACATCTCTCAGATCGTCTGGAGTCGATTGCTGGCTACGGTTTGGAATCTTTGATGCAACTTATGTCGCTATGGTTTCGGATCTCGGTATGGGCCCCTAGGTATCATGGTGCGACGTGGAAGTTTCCTTACTTTTCTTGCTTGGTGAACGACTTGGTAAGGGCACGACATCCCAGCAAGGAGCTCGTTGGCTGTTGCATTCGGTCCATCATCCAACTCTGAAACGACTACATGCCAATCGCTTCCATAAGGCCGGATAGGCGAGATCTTTGTCTTGTAACCCGAAGTCATCGGGCCAAATCTGCCTAGGCGCGGGCGACCTCGTAATACACCTCGCTAGCGCGCGACCGGCGTCGGTCACGTACCAGCGAATCGTCGATGCGGCGTACTACTGACGCCTTTCTTTTTTAGTTCCATCAATGGCATTGTTTTCGACTGTTTCATGTACCCTGTTGCCCTCGAGTACTACCACATTTCCCGACACTCATCGATTCCTTCACTTATCGCGCAATGACTATTATGTGCCACCACAAGTTCCTACGCTTCGCAGTCACTCCTTGATCGTTTGCTCGCATGCGATGTAGCATGTGGCTTGATACGCTTATCTTCCTTAAATTTTCTCATTCGCCGCTGTGATTTACACTGACGATCACCATGTATAGGCTGTTTCGGACCCATCACTCAGGACACCACTCAGGAAACTCATTGCTACATTGGCATCTCTGCGTTTGCTACAGGCGGGGCTTTTTTCCTCTCAAACGTTGTCTTGGTTTTAGGTTACCGATGCGCTCATTTGCATTAGCTACTACTCCTTTATTTTATCCGCTAGCCGTTAGCAAATTATCGTGAAAGCCGTTTCACTTTCTAGATGCTTTGGGTAGGTTGGCATTTCATGGTGGTTTCACTAGAATACATCCGAGCCAGCCACCGGTACAATTTCCTTTCGAACACCAACCGGCTAGTAAAAAAGTGTGCAACATACTTTCAACATTTTGGTGGGTGCGAACGACATGCGGTATACCCAGTTCTTGCGCGACTGATGATGTTCATGTGCCACCGAAGCGTCAGTACAGAGTATCGGCATACTGTTAATGCCTTTTTTTACTGGCGGGGCGCGTTTCCATCTGAGACGCTTTGTCGATAGAGCGCAAACTTGAAGTACAGACTAAGGTCTCTTATCCAGGGAATTCTTTCGGTGTTCTACTCGCGTTGGGCTAATATGTTGAGGGCAATGTGTAGATTACTGTTCTTCAACTAGTTGTTACCCACAGTCACTGAACGTTGCAGACATCAAAAGAACACAAATGTTCACTGTTGAGGGTACCGGATGCGTTATACTGGTGTCCACTACTTGGTGTCAATCAATGGCCACTGAATTGAACGTATTCCTCGGTTTTTGTTCACACATCTCACATCCGAGTGTTGGAAATCGTCTGTGCATTTACCTTCTATTTAAATTGATAGGTTGCTACCTTCGGTGCTCCTTTGTGCAGTCGTCTAACCGTTGCTGTTCTGTATGATTGCTTCGCCGTCCACCTGCTACTGATCATTTTACCACATGGCTAAATCCTTACATCTTTGTCGAACCTACTCCGTACTTGTTGTCGATACTTTTATTTATGCTTATTACTTTGCCTGTTATCCTCAAAGCACCCTCCGTACAACCCTGCTTGCTCATTATACCTGCGTCATTTGCTTCATCTCTCCACCATTGTCACACCCCTTTGACTTGTAGGTGATTTTTCAGTGGAACCATTGGACGATCCATTTTGGACCGTACTTTCCTTGAGCCTACAAGTCCTGTACCATTTTGTGGTTCTCCAGCCGATCGCACTGGTTAGTTCAACGATTTTGCGGTGTAGCTTTTTTATCTTTCAGTTATACTCGCTTTCTCAACCTACACTCATAGTACAATTACTTTCAATTTTCCGTTAGAATAAAACTGCGGTATTTTACTTCCACGGCGTTTTTCATGTCGAATCACTCTGTCCCGGAAAGCTACCTTACAAATTTTGGCTGGTACTGGTTTTCAGATCGGCACTTTACTTGCATACCCTCCGGTTTTACTTCTTATGCTGCACGGCAGCACGACCGTGGGCTTATGTGATTACTTTCTCTTCGATGACAACATCTACTTTGGAGATAGTGGTTCTTTACACCGCCTCACATTATGATGTCTGTGTTGTAATCGGATGGAAATATTGAGCGAACAATTGCGATGGACTGATATATGTACTTTTTGGCGCTAGCGTATTAATCTTTTCGTATGTTTACAACTCCTCACGGTGCGCCATTCATGGGCAGATGATTTGGGCTTTGGGTTACTTTGACTGATTTTCCTACTGTCCTCTAATTGCTAAATGCTGCTGCCGATTTCCGTCTTGTAGGTAGCACTATTCCGGTGACTTTCATTTCGAAGAACTTGTATCGACGGATTGCGCACGCTATCGACACCAATGCCTTCTCTTACTCTTGTCCTCTCTATTACAATGAAACATTGGGGTATCATCGCTTCTCTGCTATTAGTGTGTGCGCAGCCTGCATGTTTATTCCTGTTGCACTGTCTAGCATTCGCTGTCAACACGTCTGCCGAATTGCAGCAAGCCGCCTGAGTACTTTCCTCGTAACTTCTAACTGATACATAAACCCATCATTATTGGTATTGATGGACAAGGTTTGAAATGCATGCTTCTACTTTGGGGAGCAAGTTAACCCGTTAGTAGTCTTCTCAAGACGCTGGTTGGCTTTACCGGCCCTACACTGTTCATTGTCTGTTTCACTGCATAATACCTCTGTCCTGTTCCCATGGTTACTGCAACTACCACGGGCTTTTCAAGTGCTGCACTTGCTTACCCGATTTTGCTTTCTTAAAGTACAACATACACTACGTAGTTCGACTTCTTTACTGGCCTCTGAGAATGCGCAGTACTATGAATTTTAACAGGAATGGCGATTTTCAAACTTACTTCTCTGCGCATAAACACCTGCACTTTAAATAGACTGTGCTGAGCTTATCGTCGTGGGAGACTCAGTGAGGCGCTTCAACTACATAACTTGGCTTTTGGTGCGTTATCTGTGATTGATACTTTTACACAACCCTGGGGTATCTGAACTTGGACCCTGGGGTGGCGTTCAAGTTTTCTGGTGGATAGGCCGTCAGAAGCCATAACTCGCAACGTCGTCTGGTTGCACCTGAATGTAGCTGATCACTTCTCATCTGCTGTATTCGCTATTTATTCAACCAGTATAGTATCAAAGTAGCGAGCAAGATGTAACGAAATCATGGGGCTAATGATACCTCACACATCAGCTATCTCCGAACTGATATTCTAATCCACACCAATCTGAGCTGCTCCCATTTACTTATGGATCGCGATAATTTTACCTCGCAACTTTATCTGCTGTGAATCTCCTGCGCTTGTGCTCAAACAGTGAACCTCACTAGACTTGTTTTTTATGTGAGTGGCTCCCATTAAGACCATACAGACTCGGTACCAACGAAGCCGTGAGAGAAAGCGAGAGATCATACCCTTCAGTCTCTATAGACTCATTGATTATGAGTTCCTCTTGCGCGCTCTCCCAGCGAAATAGTGCGTGGCAGCCCGTCAGATGATATTGTAACCCTGTGCATGGATTTATCTTATGGCCGAACTGTGTGTGTGTCATTTCACGCGATATCCGGTCACATGCTCACATGTGATAACGCATGTGTCCCTTTGCGATACGTTCCGAACGTGCTTCGCGTATGTGGACGTGGAGCGCACGTTCCTCGCTTGTATCGCATTCGCGGTCACATGTGTCATCTAACTGATCGGCTCTCCGTACTTCTGAAGATAGTTAATCGCTGATCACCACCACGGACGTATGCCTCCGTCGATGGTGACAACCAACTTCTGTTAGTGCTGGAACTTTGTAAACTCTTCAGTGAGGTCTCACTCTGGCCTTGTAATGGCGATATGCATCTGTTGGTCTCGAAGCTTTGGCGCCAGCAGTGTTCGAATCTGGAAACCCCTGTGCGATGCCTTTCAACTCGTACACTGAAGTGAGCCCAAAAGTGGTAGTTGCGTTGCAATCTGTGAAGACGAAGATGTCTGCTACTTCACTTCCCTGGAATTCAGACCAAGCCGTATCATCTGTCGTCGCCTTGTACATTTACCTTGGTGCCGTTACCGCAGGCTCTATTTTTTTGTGGTTGCCTACAGCCAGCAACTATGATTATCACGCTCCTACTAGCCCAGTTGAATGGCCCTATCGTACCTACATTATCCATTGCAGATGCCATTTAGGTTGATTGAATCCGTCTCCAAAATCTATTGCTTAACAGGCTCTCGCTCGATGAACTGGAAACGTCTCTCAGCCTATCATTTGTTGTCATCTTTTGACACCTCGACAAAATGCAGCACAGGCTTGACGTTTATTGACATTCTCATCGATGGTAGTGCCTTTGCAATCACCACGAAGTTGTAGGATTAGTCCCGGCTCACCGGTTTCTTTTCTACTTGTAACAGGAATAGTCAACTTAGACTAACCGGTTGTTTTCAAATCAGTTTGACCTCATGAGTTCTTCATCGGTTCTAAGCATATTTCAAGATGCTTAGCAACTTAGCCAGCCTTCATGGATCGTTTTGTAGTCCTTTATTGTTTCTGCGTTTCTGTTTCTCCTTTTACTTCTTCACAGCACTGCTGATGGTTTTGTGGTCCTATCTGCAGCCATTTGGGAATATTTCGAAGAATCGTTAGTACAAAGTTTAGTGTTAAGATAATATGAACCTTAAAACCGTATGGTCGAAACTGCGGTGGTGTTCTTTGGTCCGCACATGAGCCCTGATTAGCAAGTATGTTTTTCAAACGTTAAACTGCTGCTAACGAACTCTGCAAACGCATTGAGCCCTAACGTATGGAATTTAAGCGTGAAAATAAATCGGAGGGGAGGAGCTGGGGAACACTTGGATCCTCGGTTTTAGGGATTAACAGAAGCAAGCGAGTGGATGAACCTGAACACTGGACTCGTGCAGTACAGCAAATGACGTATGATTTCCGTTGACTGAAGTTTCACCGATCAGTTGTCTTCACTTTGTACAATCAGAAATCATGCATGGATTTCCACGCGGATGGGCTGCTTTCACAGGAGTAACAAGTCTGTCTACCTGCTTATTTCCCTGTCGCGCTCTTACCTGCTTTAATTCGGAGATCACAGCCCGACATTCACAAGGTGTATCCCATAATCATTCATCATCCGCCATTTGGTCTTCTCGTTTTACAATTCGATGACATGCAAAATCACGGTACGCGGCTTTTCCAATCATTTAACTGGTGTATGAGAGACTGTTTTGTATTAACATCAGTTCCTCAACTGTGGGACGACTTGTGTGTGCCATATGTTCACTGACACGAACGTTGCATCACTGATTTCTCCATTCAAGCTCTTAACCGATGTACTTTTGATACTTGGGTGACGAAGCTATTCTCAGCATACAGTCCCAGATTTATAATACTAATAATACGTATATTTCCCGATTGTACGAGAAGCTTTCTCTGGATGGTGGACAGGTCATGGGTACAATAATGATCATGCCTATGCATGAATGAGATATGTATCCTGGGATGTGTGATATCAAAATAATTTGGAATCACATAACTTTCGTTGTTGCTGAGTTCTGTGTACCATCTTTTCTCATTGGCTATATTATTCCTTAGTCCATCCTGGGAGAACTCGTGTGGTGATTTACCCGATGGTCATTATCGAGTTCTGGTCTAAGAATTTGCTAAGCTGAATGTGGAATGTTCTTGCATTTGTGCAAGACCTGGTTGTGGCTGATAGGCTATTCCACACGACAGCGTATCTGACGAAGAAGAAGTTGCATTGGATAACTGTCCTTGTTCTTGTCACAGTTAATGTACAGGTCTTGTTGCATATATTCCGAGTGAAGTTATGTTGCAATTTTACTGTGCACAGATTGGAGTATGTCTTTTGATTTACGAGATTGTGTATCAGCTTAAGCTTATGTTTCAGTCGTCGCGACCAAAGGGGCTCGAGTTTAAGCTGCTGTCAACGCTTCTGACAACACAATGTGGTTGATTTATTGAACAAGCGCTTAGTGAATGATCTTTGCAGGTTTTCCAAAGCTTTCCTGTCACCCATACGCATGTTCCCATAAATGATGCTGCAGTGTTCAAGGACAGGAAATTTAAGTACATGGCAAAGCTCGAGTCTGGCAGAGGTCGTATTGATTTTTTGGCATATGTTAGCTACTGATCGTTTGGCACGCGTTATTTGATACTCAGCTTGCTCTAGCAAATTAAAGTTTGAAGATTACCACATGCTTAGATTACAGTTGGATATTTTCATACAGATACGTTCTTTGTTCTGTTTAACTGACTCTTCAGAATCCGTGACGTAATGCATAATGTGTCGCACCATTTCTCAAGTGAATCGAGATCTTCTTGAAGGAGCAGCATTGCGCCATGGAGTTCATCTCGTCGAAGTTTATAAACCATCGTTACGTGTTAAGCTTCCTTAGAAACCACCCTAGACATCTAACCGTCTTACACCAAATCCGTGCCGTCCCGTATCTGTTGCACTATTGGGTCTTCTGGTGATATCTCATAATTTTTGCGAACCGTGTGACTACGACCGTCCCGCGTGAGAAGTGGTGGCTTATAACGTTCCTCTTAACGTTTAACACACATTTCCTTCTACCAGCCTATAGGTCACCTTTACCTTCTCCACAAAGACCAACTTAATCTCTCCATTGCGCAAAATGCAATCACATCTCAGACGCCCTTTTTTCATCGCGTTAGTGGACATGCGACAGGTGACATTCGATTTTTCCCAC